CCAACACATTCAATTTCAGCAAATCACTGATTAGTCACCTATTACAGCATGCTTGTTTTTTCCTTTTCCCCCAAAAAAACTCAAACTTGGAAACAAAACATTAAATGTGGTGCCTCTCAAAAAATTTCAAAAATTACTAACAAAGCACCCACTTCATCTCTGATATTTTAATTTCTGATCTTATCACTTCATATAAGATTGAAAAGTGTTAGGATATTGTCTGGTACTAAATTATATTGTGATGTAAAACTACGATCAAGAGTTGCAGGTTGAATGTTCTTATAATAGCAATGAGTTACAACCATTTGGCAAAGATAAAAGGCACAACTCGAGATACAACCATTTGGCAAAAGTATAAGGCACCATCTGGAATGTAGTAGCACACATGAATTTACAAAAGGCAATCAAATAAAATGTAAAAACGTAATCAAATTAAAATGACAAACATAAGTCTCTTAAAAACCTAAAAATAATCAGAGCTTTTAACCTTTTCACTACAGAAATGTTTAAAAAGGCAAGAAGCCTGGACAATTTCTGAAAAATCCTTTAAAAAAAATCAATTGACACACGTCACTAATAAGGGTTTTATGATTTTATTTATCTAATTGTTTTAATGTTTTTCCCCACCTACATAAGAGATTTTATAAATTCAATTGAAAGGAGTGAAGCATCAAACCCAATTCATTCCTTGGGATTTGAAAAATATACTGGATGACTCATATAGTGACCTTGTAGGAATTTTAACTCTTAAGGCTATGGCAAAATTATGACGTCAAAATTGCTTTAAAATGACTATGTTTAGTTACTTGTATCCAGGCCCCATTAAAAACTGTGAAGGTGCAGACCTCAGAATTGTTAATTAGGTATATTGGAAACAGGACACAGTGGAAATGCTATGTTAAGTGGCATTTGCGGGAATACGCCACAGTTGAAAATACTGGGTTCGCTGCTTCTCAGGGTTTTTAACCCTTTTGCCGCTATGGACATAATTATACGTTTGCTCCATCGACTCTAAGGACACAATTCTACAACTTTCATTTTCTGTGCCCTTGCTGATATGGACAAAAAACACAATTTCAACTTTCCTTACAGACTGCTAAAGACGGTAATTCTCAGGGTTAAATTAGCAATACACATTACTCCTTGGAGTTTCTACTATATATACGTCAGTGGTGAAGATAAGGATGAAGTAAACTTAGCAGAGAATAGGTTTTCTTTCACTATCCCCAGTGAAGCCGAGCAATTATATCTAGTTTATAGCATTTCCTTTCTGTAAAGGTCAGGTTTCTTGTTGTCACCAAAGTGCATCTGACTTGTCAACACTCGGGCCAATCACCCACCAACCAAGGGTGAATATTGTTTGGTGTACAAAATATAGCCCACGTCTTTGAGGCATCTTTTGCATTTGGAGTATAAAAAAGGGCCCTTTCTTTTTAGCCGACCACAAATGATGTCACAGGACAGCCCAACATTTTAGAGGGTGGTAAGAGCGGGTTTTCCTTGTTTTCATTGCTTTAGCGCGTTTCTTCCAAGGCCAAGGTTTTCGCGCGTTAACCTAACCCTAACTCCAACCCTGACCCTAACCTAAACAAAACTATACGCTTAATCTACCACCACCTGAAATATTAGACTGTCCCATGACCTGTGGATTTCCATTGTATGTGGTTGGCTTATAAGAAAGTAACTGGAAAAGTAGTACATGAGAAGGGGTCAGCTGGGAGCTTGCTTAACACAGTGGTAGCAATGACTGGGGAATACATGTCAGCGAAAGGAGTAAAAGCATAAAAATAATCAAAGAGCAAATGTGAATTGTGCTCTTTGTGTACTTATGCCACAGAAATTAGCTGCTTGGGTATAAATACCTTTAATGAAGTATAGAAGATAATAATTTTGCCTAGATACATATAAGATAAACATAACACAGCCATTCAGGCTATAAGCTGAATTTCAAACTAGGCTTCACAGAGTCTTGGTAATCTTAACCAGACTTTTAAATAAATTTCATAAAGTCAAAGACATTTCAAGCTAAATTTGATGAAACTGTAGAATTCCAATCAGATTTCCCAAATTCAATTAATTTTGAAGATTTTAGAAAGTTGTGGAATTTCAAACTAGACTTCAACATAAAATCAGGGAATGTTCAACTAGACTTAATAAAGTCATGGAATTATCAGATGGAATTATCAAACAGACTTCCTGAAAGTCATGGATTTTAAAACTAGACTTCACAAAGTCATGGAATTCTCAAATATGTGACTGTAAAACATAAAAAAGTAAATGTCTAACAATGCAACAACCAAAATTATTAGTAATGAAGATACAAAAAAAATCTACTTGACATGGAAGCAAGTAGATTCTTGGTTCAACAAGAAACAGACTTTAATTTGGAAGTACAGTATCCAAGCATAACATGCAACAATAACAAAAATTGTGAAAACAAAAGGCACTGATCTTGAAATCAAGGAGCAATAAAAACAGATTATCAAATCTTTTTTCTTCTATCACAAGGCACAGAGGTACTTACAGACTATTTTTTAAATGGGGGTATAACTCATGTTTCTGGGCCCAGAAACAGAGTGACTTCCCCTTCCAATTCATGAACTGCTGTGTCGTGCGTTGTGTCCTATGCTGCGGGGGTATCACGCTTAGGAACCGCCTACCAACATGCAGCATTTTACTAGTTTTTCTCACCAGGCTGCACTATCGCGTGTTGTATATTCCAGGATGTAAGTGCTTTTAATGATTGCAAAACATGCAGAACTGGCCTTAACACCATCCCCCTACATCCCATGAGAGAATGCAGCCTACGTTGTACAACTGTATGCAGCTTATATTATAGGCTGCATGCAGTGATGGGACGTAGGCTGAACTCTCGTGTGGGACCTAAGGGGTTGGGGGTTAGGGCCAGTTCTGCATGTTTTGGGACTATATCGCCGGCCGGTCAGTAAGCGTGACACCACCAAAACATAGGACACACTATGTGACATGGCAATTCATGAATGGGAAGGAAAGTCACTCTGTTTCTGGGCCCAAAAACGTGAGTTGAACCTGAATGGGAAGTGGAAGCATCTGAGCAATGTGTATATTGTGATAACAAATCATAAAAAGTTTATAGACAAAAGGTACAGATCTTCATATTTAGGAGCCAAGGAAACAACTGATCAATTAATTCAATGTTTTCTCTTCTATCACAAGGCACAGAGATACTTTACAGACCATTTTAAATGGTAAGTGAAAGAATCTGAGCAATATATAATAAAATAATAATAAATAATTTATAGGAAAAGGCACTGATCTTTATAGTTAAGAACAAAGAAAACAATTTATCAATTCATTCAATGCATCCTCTTCTATCACAAGGCACTGCGGTACTGTACAGACTTTCTGTATCTGAGCAAAATATTACGTGATGATTAAAAACAAGTGTATATAGATCTATATATCTAGGGACACTGAAAACAGTTCATTAATTGTCTGCCACTGTTAGATCACAGCGATTTCTGTATAGGAGAATTCTATTGACATAATGAAATAAATGTGTTCCCTGAGCCCAGGTCCCCATTTTGCGCAGACAAAAAGAATAGATCTACTACCGTTAATAAACCAGGTAGTAAAAGACAACTATTTAAGACTTTGCGAAAATTATATGTGCTGTGCCAAAAAGTGTAGCTACTGCAGTCTAGCTGTGAACTACATCCAAAACATAACCACTTCAAGGAAAACAGAAGAAGGAGAATTAAACATTACCAAAACATTCTGGTTATCCCAAATTTTTTTTTAAATATATATACAAAATTAGCATTATAAAGAAGTTGGTGAGCAATATATATTTAAATGTGTGTGTACGCACGTGTGCACATGTGTAAACATGCAGGCCTTTAAAAAAAAAAACAGATGTGGGTCATGACAGAATGTCTTTTTAAAAAAAGTTACAAAGTGTCTATTTCAGTAGCACTGAAAACATGATGCTTAAAAAGGTGCTGGTACTGCATACCATTGCCTACCACAAGAAAAAAGCCATGCGTATATTTATACACACAGACGATCTATAGAATTCATTTATGCACACACACAGAGACAGACAGAGAGAGAGAGAGAGTCTGAGAATGAAGACAGTATTTCTTCTAAACACCACCAAGTTTACTCAATGTCAAATTGAGTGAATAACTAAATGTCTCCTATACATACACAATGGGACATCCACTGAAACTATTTAAATAACTATCGTGTAGATGTCCGGGTTCTAAAAAAAAAAAAGTAAGGCTCAAGAACATGTGAATACTGCAGAGACGAAAATATGATTAGTTCTTCTGGCATATAGTAAGTGTCTCTTTGTTTGCTAAAATGCATTTACTATTACTATTCACATGTAATTTGCTGCCTGTATAAAATAAAATGTAGGACATACTTCCCTGGCAATGTCCTGCAAAATTAAATGTCATAAAACTCCTGAACTAATAAGGGAGCATAAACTTAATGGGAGAAAACCAAATATAATAATGGACTTGTGCTGCAGGGGGAGCAGGAGTAATGCTGATGAGATTTGTGTTTAATCTCCCCTCCCCCCCCCCCCCCCCCCCCTCAAAAAAAAGGTTGAGGAAGCCTGTGTTTTATAGCAGGAGGAGGGCAGTCACAGAGTACTGGGACTTGACTACAGAACTGGATATGCGTTTTTAAGCCCAGATGAAGGAGTTCAACAATTAAGACATTAAAAAGATGAAGAAAAGTGCTTCATTTATGTAGATGAGGACTAAAGTTCATACAAATTTCCAGGTGTGTGCCTTGAATCCTTTATACTAATGTGCAACACTTCCTGACAGTCCAAACACAGGTAATTACGGAGATGATAATGATAAGCAAAAGAAATATGGTAATATGCATAAATCATACAGTTCAGAGCAAATGAAATAAACGAAAGAAAACATTCATGCTTCTTTACATCATTCAAGCTGAATCACACACCCATATCATTCAACTAGGGATGACTATTACTAAAATGACTAACTCTTTTTAAGAGCCATTTCCAGCCAATCATCTTCTTCATCATCTGAATTATCAGAATCACTGCGCAGTAACTTAATATATCGGACCTTTTCTTTTTGGGGCAAGCACTTCTGGATAACTGAAAATAACAAACACCAGCCAATAGTTACAGCACTGCAGCCCCAGAAGAGAACTGATGAACCAAAGGTGTAGTAGATGTAGCCAGAGACAAGACTGCCTGCTGAGAAACCAACACCAAAATAAAATGAGGACAGAATAGAACGAATGCTGCGATCAATGGCAGCACCAACATTGAAATCATCATAGCTAAGAATGGCAAACCACAGAGCTGTGTGCGTGATTCCATGTGTCAGCTCCATTGGAATAAAAGCCCAGGGTTGAGAGATGAATGCATAGTACAAGACACGCACACTGAGGGTAAACACAGAAATGCACACCACCCAAGACTGACCTAATTTCTTCACAAGTCGCCCACTTAGAATCAGCATGGGTATCTCTGCGAAAGCACTAAAAGAGACACAAAGACCCATAGGAGTTTCACCACCACCGAGATCTTGAATTCTCCAGAATAAAAAATTGTGGTGAGATGCATACACCATACCGGTAAGCAGCAGAGTGACCGAAAACAAGAACCCGCGTGCATCACAGCAAATAATGTGAAGCCCTTTGGTGATCTTTGAGGCATACTTGCCATTAGCAGGCGGAGGGACAGGATAACAGCAAGCAGCAATCATAGCACCCCCTGCGAGAACGGCAAAGAGGTAAAAGTGGATCATGAAATGATGAACATTGTAGAATAGAAAGCAGGGGGTATAGTCGACGGCTACAGTTACAACTATAGGGATAACCACAAATGCAATAGAGCCCCAAAACCTCTGCTGGCCGTATCTCTCCAGATCATCAATTCTGTTAAGAAAATCAAACCAGGAATCATCTGCTACTTTCTCCACTGGACAGGAAAAGATTTCGCCCCCGACTGTAATTCCCAGGATGATGAGAAACAATAGGAGTCTGTCATTCTTTAAGGAACTCTGTACAGTATGCAGCTTGTCTGTGAGCTGGCTCATCCAATCTCTTCTGTTCATGGCATGGTCATCAGCAGATCTTTTCACCTGATTGTAGAAGAAAACATTTTAATAAAGATGTCGTTTAAAAACAAAAACACAACAAAGGATCTTGGTAATCTTGGTTTCAGCTTCATCATAACAAATGGGTCACCCGACAGTTGCTCTACTCCTATGCCCAAAAAAACGCACAGAATTTCCATCATTTCCATGTGGAGAAACTGACAAAGACTGCAGTCTCAGCATATCCACCAGCATACACATGCACTAGAAGCAAAAGGCAGCCATCAGAAATAAGTGTATTAGTGATCTGTGTAAAATGTGTGGTTTTTTTCATGGCTCTTTAAGGAATTCCCATGGGTTTAATACTTATTTTTTTTTAAGCGGAAGGAATAAAAGCAAGTAAAAGTACAGGACATGGCAGTGGTGCACTGGGCATATGATGCCAGACGTAAGTTTACAGACCAATCGACACTCAACATCACACCAGCCACCTTCTAATTCCCATTTGAGACTGGGTCAACCAGTTTTAAACAAATAAAATCTGCCTTGGTGCAGAATCCAAGACCTTTGGGTCAGCAGGTGAGTCTAGCCACTATGCTATTTCAGTTCCCTGATGTTTATTATATGTGTTAATCCTTATCATCACTTAACTCTTTCAGTATCAGGAAACTCACCATACTTTTATTGCTTGCTAAATTCTTCTTCGTTTGCACTTCCTCTTTTACCATTTCAGGTGTTGAGTCTTCTGGTCCTCTTGATGACAGACACATCATGCTGTTGTAGAGTTTCTCTGATGTTATCTTTCCATTTTCTTCTTGGTCTACCTCGTGATATTCGTCCATCTCCTCTTTTAGTGTAGGCCTTGTATGGTATGGCTTTACAAGGCATACTCTAAGTGGGCAAATCATTTGATTTGCTGTTTTGGTGTACAATTTAGAAAACGTATTGTTATATATGCTCAATACATGGCATATATTTCTTAGTACAATCTCCTTTCTTCAGTAATGATCACCCACTCCAATTCATGAGGTGTTTCAACCTCTTCTATCCCATAGTTTCATTAGTTAACTTCTTTAGACTCAAAGTTTGTCACTCTTAACAAACTTTAGCACAGGCAGGTTACAACACCAACCCTCTAGGGTAAAAAAAGTTAAAACTAGTTTGATAGTTAAGGAAGCTGAGGTAGTGAAGTGGCAGACCCAAATGTCTTGAGTTTGAATCTGCTGGCAAACACACTAACCACTATGTAACCATGGCTATCAAGATTAACTAAATGAAATTTTTTTTTTAAGTGATTACCCATACGTGGTCAGAAAAACAAGTGATTAACCACATGTGGTCAGAAAAACAAGGGATATATGGTTTTAAAAAAAAGGATTTGTAAAACAAGCACATTATTCACAATGCAGTACTGGTCATCTTCTTATAGCCCAACCTGTGTGGCATAAGTAGTCACCTCTATCCACAACCTTCAGTCTTGAGTATTTTTAATCAATTCTGACACAGATAACCTTTCATGCCATGTATGTAAAACTGTCCAGCATCTTTTCTCTAGTCTCCCTCTGCCTTTTTTCCCACCCAACTTTCCCATCATCATGATGTACTTCAGTTTTCTCCTTCTCACGACACAACCAAAGAATGTAGATTGTCTCCTTCTGATGTGGGCAATCAATTCTCTCCCTGAGTCAATTACTGTCAAGACATCTTCACTACTATTTTTATCTGTCCAGGGTGTTGTCATCATTCGTCTCTGAACCCCATCTTCACCACTTTCACATAATTTTTCACTAACTGGCCAAGTACCCATGATTCGCTTCCATATGTCAGGATGGGATTTATATAGCTCTTGAGAACTCTCTTTCTCACCTCAACTGACATAGAAAGATCAAGGATAGTCTTTTGCTAAGCCAGTATAATTCATTATATCCATAGCACTACAATCATCATCACAGAGCGCCTTGCCAACTGGCATGGGTGATCATGCCTCTTCACAAACTGTGATCTGCAGCAGCTTGTATCAGTTTGTGTGCCGACCCCCTTCCATGCCAGGAGAAAAGGCTGAAAAGATTCTTATCACATAGTCTTTATCTCTTTCCACAAAACCTTCAAGTGGTCACATCATGTTCACAAAATTCTTATATAACACTGTCACACATCTCTATCTAACTTCAGCCAAACATGTTTTTTGCTTACCTTATTGCCTGGACTTTCAGCTTTAGCCTGTAGCCATTTGTAAAGTTCCACAACCTGTTCTTCGGTGATTTGCAAGTTTTGATCATTACTTAAAAGTAAATCAGCCAGTTCTTGTGGCGTTATTTTTGCATTAAAATATTCCTGAAGTGTGATGTTGAGCTTATGTAAAATACCCAAAAATGTCTCATACAGGATTGGTTCCCCATTTCTCGGAGACAACACTGATGCATCTGTTAATTTTGTTTCTGAAGCTGACCATGGTTGTGCTGTGTTTATTTCAAAGGTAGTTTCTTGAATTCTAGGTGTGGCTGCTTCTAATGTAGATTCCGGAATCCTTGGTGTGGTTGATTCTAATGTAGACTCCTGAATTCTTGGTGTGGTTGATTCTAACATGGATTGTTGAATTCTTTGTGCAGTTGTTTGCCCAAAATTATTACCACTGCCTGTGCTGGGACTGAATGACGATGTGCCCGAAGTAGCCGCAGACATCTGTGTGGTTGGATTGACAGTGTCCGGCAAAGCTGCAGAAGCGTCATCAAGAGGCAAGCCAGAATGATTGCTACTTGAAACCTGCAAACAATGTTCTGATGAGGAAAGCTGGGTGTACAGTGCAGGAAAAGCTAAATATGTCATGATCATCATAAACAGAGACATTACGAGCACCAGTCTGTGTCGGCTGTACGCTGTGGCGCATTTGGCCCATAATGGCGCCCATACCAAACTAGTCAATGTTTTCACTGCAATAACCGTGCCGACTTCGAAGGCGTTCAACCCAACCAGTCTGAAGAAAAGTGTTAGGAATGGGACTATTGCAGCTTTCCCTCCATGGAAGAATAAATAGAACAGGTTTGTTGTTGAAGAAGCCCTGGAGATGTTAATGGAATCCATTTTTCCAGCCATAGTGTTTTGCAGGTCTTGGTGGTTCAGTGGTTTTCTGATGATGATAATAATAATAATAATGAGGGTGACAATTAAAAAATAATTACAATAATGAATCAACTTGAGATCCAACAATTTATAACTAAAATTCTCACAATCATGTGCAATACAAAACTCTTTAATGGGTCTACATGTGAAAAACAAAATTTAAAAACTAAATCCATTTTATTCTAAACATCTTATAATTATCTCTTTTCCAATTTCTTGCTATATCTTCTACAAACGCTGAAACTTAACATTTTACAATACATTTAAATAGCCACTCTGTGGCTTAGAAATCAGTGAAAGTTTACATTTGTTGTTGTTGCTATTGTTGTCGTTGGCTGTATCAACCACAGAATCATTTTGGTCAGAACAACATCCAGCTACTTATGGGGATTAAGGCCAGACCATGTCTCAGCTAACAAATGAACAAACTACTACGCCACTGTTGCCAAACAAGGAAATAAACTAACTATTATGCCGATGTGGCTAAACAAACAAATGGACAAACTACTATGCCACTGATGCTAAACAAACAAATAAACTAACTACTATGCCACTGTGGCTAAATAAACAAACTACTATGCCACAATGGCTAAACAAACAAACAAACACACTGCTATGCCACTGTTGCTAAATAAACAAATGAACAAACTACTATGCCAATGTGGCTAATCAAACAAATAAACTAACTACTATGCCACTGTGCCTAAACAAACAAGTGAACTGACTACTATGCCACTGTGGCTAAACTAACAAGTGAACTGACTACTATGCCACTGTGGCTAAACAAACAAAAAAACTACTACTATGCCACTGTGGTTAAACAAACAAATAAACAAACTACTATGCCACTGTGGCTAAACAAACAAACAAACAAACTACTATGCCACTGTGGCTAAAAAAAAAAAACTAACTACTATTCCACTGTGGCTAACAGACAAGTGAACTAACTACTATGCCGCTGTGGCTAAACAAACAAATAAACTAACTACTATGCCACTGTTGCTAAATAAACAAATGAACAAACCACTATACCAATGTGGCTAACAAGTAACAAGCAAGCAAAATTAAAAAGATACTTATAAACTATTACTCTTTAAGTAAAAGTGAAAATATCAGTAAAGATTCACTTAATAGTTTTAATTAATATGTTGACATTAGGCCAACATCTTGCTCTCGTCTTACTTAGTTTCGTCTTCCACAATATTTTCTCTATCTTGTCTATACACCTTTTTTGTATATATTATGTATGCCACAAATATGCACACACACATATCATATACTCACATGCACATATATACCTATTTTTTTTTTTGGGGGGGGGGGGGGGGGGGGGGGTTAGACCTACTGCTCCTTAACAAATATATCATTCTTCTGCTTTTTATCATCCATACCATGTAGCTTTGGTAGTCATGTTTATCCAAAATCTTCTGTTTGATCATCTTTTAGGCCATGGTGTCAAACTGTCCAGCATCCACTGTCTCCTTGCCTCTTCTCCCTTCCAACCTTCCCACCATCACGATGCACTCATTATCTTTTTCTCATGACATCTCCTTCTGATATGGGCAATCATTTCTCCTTGTAAGGCAATTTCTGTTAAGCCATCTTTATTACTGCTTGTATCTGTTCAGGGTGTTCTCGTCAATTGTCTATAAAACTATATCTCTGTTGCTTCCAACTAGTTTTTCACTTATCACCTAACTGTACATGATACACTTCCATATATTTGGATAGGATTTACATTGCTCTTGACAATTCTCTTTCTTACCTAATTTTTTTTAAATGCAAAATAATATTTTCCATTTTGTGAAATGTTGCCTTTGCTTATTAAGCTATTCTACATTTAACATCATTAATACATTTATCATATGCTGTTATCAGTGTATCCAAGTGCTTAAATGTATCAACCTGTTTGAGTCTGTTCCACTTACTTTGATGTTGGACTGGAAGAAGGCTTATTATAAAAAGCGACTAATTAAGGATTTGGTGAAATCAGGTGTGCCGGATCAAAAGGTGTAGGCTTAACAGCCTTGTTGTAAGCAACAATACAACATGCCAACCACTGATGAATAATGCGGGGGAAAAAAGGAAGAAAGATTATTACTACAACAGACTTACTGTGAGTTATAGAAGACAGACTGAATACACACAAATCAGGCAAATTATTGCGGTTAGCTTTAGAATCCCTAAATACTGCAGGGTGACTGAACAACAGTCAGAAGCAGATACAGAGCTGGGACATATGAGATTAATCACTAGTATGTACACAGCAGATGGTGTGCAGCCTCCGAACACAGCATGAAACCTATTTGACAGCAATGAGTAGCACATGTTACAGCAGGTCAGGTAATGTGTGTAAACACTGGTAGACAGATTAGAATGGGGTTAATGGGGGCAAGGAGTTAACAGAAGTTTATAAATATTAGTAAAGATATATTTAATTTGTTTCATTAATATGTTGACAATATAGGCCAACATCTTGCTCTTGTCTTCCTTAGTTTCTCCTTCCATAATATTCTCTCTATCTTCTCTATACACCTCTTTTGTAAATAATATGTATGCCAACACACACACACACATAAATGAATACACTCACACGCACATATCTACCTAAAAATTCTGCCTATCTAACTACCTGCCTACCTATTACCCATCCATCAACCAGCCTACCTACCAGATATATATAAAATCTATGGTGGCGCAGTAACTAATTCTCCTGCCTGCTAGCAAGGTGATATATTTAGGGCTGTTTCAGAAACTCAGATAAGCTCCAGTGCAGCCTAAAAAAAAGCATATGCGTGTGTGTTTGCATGCACAAATGTGTGTATATTTAATTTGTAACAGAAATAGCCAAAGTAAAAACTAAGTCAGGGTGAGTTTATATAAAAGTTGGTTCAAACAGAAGATGCTTAACTCTTACAGTTCCAGAAGGATAAAGTTGATGGTCAAAAGCTCAAATTAAAGCAACAGCAAAGTCACACACAAAAAAGGTTATTTCAACCCACTACATCAGGGGTTTTCAAGTTTTCAGGTGGTGCCTCTGTGGATATATGGCAAGGGACCACCTCCTTCCCACCCCTGCATTGAAACTACCTTGTTCCCCCCCCCCTTTTGAAACTTCTTTGCCCCCCCCCCCATCCCCGAAACTTCCTTGTGGCCCCCCCCCCCAACCTTGAAATGTCATTGTGCCCTCCCTTGAAAAGACCAGTTTTCCCAATGCTAAGTCTTAAAAGGCTCAGATTGCTAGGCCACACTCAAAGGATGGAAGAGTACTTAAGGACAACCTCTATGGTGAATTACAGATGAGTAGAATATGTCAGAGTCAGCCTCTGCTATGATTTAAAAGATGTGTGCAAGTGGGGCATCGGATAAACAGGTTCTGATGTGGACTCATGGGAAATGGATGCCACAGATCAAATCGTTCTTCATCTGTGACCTTTAGTCAGAATGTTTCCAGTGGTTTTTTTTTTAAAGACATCTATATATAGTTTTTGGTATGCATACTACTATATTGTATATTTAATTATCAGCAGTGTAAAACAGTTGAATATAGTTTATGGGACTCTGCAAACCAACCCTAGCATTTGTTGGCTGTCTGTGGTTTTACTAGGCAATTTTGATGCCGGGTAATTTGCAAATGCTCCAGGAATAGTTTGACGCTCATGTCATTGTCAAAATAAATCAATGTATAGCATTCTGCTGCCAAATTGCCTGCAGCTGAAATGAACCCTGGTATGCCAAAATAAATAACTGTGTTTATAACTTTTAAGCCACATACGCCGCCAGTTTAGTATCATCATCATGTAGCAGGTCCTTTGCAGAATGTCGCTCTCATCACGGTCTGCCTGAAAGAAACTCAGTCTCTCGCCAGCTCTCCCGCCTCATGCACTTTCATACTCAAGTAGTCACTTATATCCTGTGCCCATCTTCATGTTGGTTGGCCCCTGCTCCTCCTTCCTGGCACAATGCCTTCTGCTATAATTTTTTCCAATCCGTAGTGGCGCTTTATATGACCAAAATATTTCAGCTTCTGAAACAGGATGCTTATTTTCAGCCAATCTTCCTTGATGTTCAGATCTTTCAAGATTTCAGAATTTCTCTTCTTTTTCGTCCAAGATATTTTGAGAATGTTTCTATAGCATTTCAGCTCAAAAGCCCCTATTCTCTTTATTAAGGACTGAGAGATAGTTCACGACTCACATCCGTATGTTGCTACAGGAAAGATGCATACTATACTATCAAAATTCTAATTTTGATCTCCTTGCTGGTGCTTCACCATAGACTTTTTAAGGCTGTTTAATCTTTGCATTGCTATGGCCATCCTCCTTTTAATTTATATCAAACAGTCTCCATTGCTATTTATTATAAAGCCTACATATTCAAAGCATGTGACATTTTCAATTTCTTCACTATTTACTGTTATTTTTGGGTGACAGCCAGTTTTATCGGTGGACATTATTTTCGTTTTCTTTAAACAGATTTTGATCTTCAATGGGCTTGCTCTTCTTTTGGACAATATTAAATTTTCCAGTTCGGAACTGAGTTCCCTTTTCGGTAATAGAAAGGAGGACTGCGTCATCAGCGTAGCGAAGTATAAAGTACACAAAGCAATCATTGCTAGCAATGGCCAGTAAGTGACTCACCGCAGTGCTCACACTCACCAGTTGTTGAAGTTGAACAATTCTGAATGTACCCTCATTCTGTGCAACACACTAACTTAACTTTAAATGCTAATCGTGGAATCCTCTTTCCGCTCAGAAAACAAGAAAGGGAATTTAATAAAGGAAAGCGAGAGGAACAATATTAGTCTTTGCAAACATTTAAAAAATATATAAATAAATAAAGAGAATATATAGTTGAATTAAGAGATTAAAGCTGTCTAAATTGCCAACCAGGCGAACCAAACCATTTCACAGGGCACGACAAAACAGGAAACATACCAAATTGCGGTAGGAGGCTGGTGACGTATCCGTACA